ATAAGTTGTTGAAACTTTTTTTGCTTGCGCACTTTTCTTTCTGCTCGAACATGGTCGGTCGTCGCTCAACATCACCACAACTTCGCTTGAGTACTCTCTGCTTAACGAAGCGCTTGAGTGGACATCAAATTAATGTCGCCTAATATGGCAGTCAGAATGCTTATGCAGAGGCCTTTCGGGGCACAGGAGTGTTTTGATAAGAATTAAATAAAGTAAATATTTTGAGTGTGGAGAAACTAATGCTATATGAAATTAGTTATTAATCTTGTATTGAGTTTAGTATGAAATCGGTATGCTGAATTACGACTAATAAATGAAACGTTATTTTAAACAATAAGAAAAAAGAAAATTTTTAAATAAGGTTGCCAGCTATCTGGAATTTGAAAGTAATTGGAAATAAAATTTATACATGTTAGAGAGATGTATTATCCGTATACATAAAACGAAACGCTGTTAGATATTTAAATCCAACGCAATGCAAGAAGGGTTGCCGCTTGTCTAAAAAAAAATTGTTTAGAACCAATATTTCCATGATAGTATTAAATAAAAGCAAAACTAAGAAAGGCTTCAAATTGGAGGCTTTAAACATTAGGGTTGTCAGCCAGTTATAATATTAAGGTTAAATGGCAAAAGTTGGGTTAAAAGCGAAGAAAATGCTGACAGAAGTTAAGAATTTTTATTATTATTTTTTTTTTTGAGAAATACGACGTGAATATTTGTGTGAAACGTTGCTACTAGGGCTGTGCAATTATTCGATTACTCGACCAAGTTGGTTAATCAGTTCTCCGGCTAATCAATTACTCGAGTTATCAAGATTTTGATTACTCAAAAAGATGTTTAATCGAGTTAAGTAAAAAAAAAAATCAGAACGTATTTCGGGTAAAAATACAACGAAATTTTTTATAATTTAAGACATTTTTAGGGAGGTTGCTATCAGAAACAAAATTAAGAATTATTATTAAAACTAATTGCATGAAAAATTTAAATATTTATACGGAAAGTGAAAAATTTTCATAAGGTGAAACACAACTCAAATACAACTGTCCCCTCTATAAATAATATTTTTTTTCGTTGAGCACTTAATTAAATATAATTAAAATTTATGAATGAAATTTATATAGAAATAGTCGTCTATTGAGATAAGGTTGCCTTCTGTCAAGCAAACAAAAAATTTCCATGTAGGAATCAAACGAAACGGGTTAAGGAATGATTTCATTTAAACATATTATTAAAGAGATTTGGGAGATTTGATGAAGAGTTCTTGACTAAATTAGTAACTGAAATCGCTGCTGTTATCAGCACTCTGAAACTTGAACGGTCTATGAGTCTGCGAACAATTGGCAGGTTATGGTCGATATCGAGTACACAGCAGGAAAGTCGAATTAACCGAAACTTCGAAATCCACTTTAACGAACGAAGTGATTGAAAACTAAATATTTTTCAAGCTGTGAACAGAGATCCTGATCTTTACAGTTGGCTTCAAACAAAACGGCTATAAGAGATGCCTATAAACTACTGAACTTTAGCTTAAATTTTGTAAGGTAGCGCATTTCCAAAAGCTTAGACAGCATATGGAAACCTGATTAGAGGCTCTACTAGGACTTCCGAGAAAATCAGGATGATTAAAACTTTAAAGACTTGTAGAGAGGAAACTCTTTAAATAGAATTGCCCGCTAAAAAATAAATTATAATTTATTTGAGAGTAATTGCCGCCTAAATACTTATTGCATAGAACTGTGAACTTCTTTTCTTAGCCTTTTTAACCTTTTAAATGGCGAGAACTGTCAGTTCCAAAAATGTTTTCAGTTTTTGTTTCATAATTGCGTCCCTATAACCGCAAATAGTAAGGGGGGCATTTATCGCCGTAAAGTCTTTAAGTGGTAAAATTTTTGAATTTAAAATAACGATCAAAAATGTTAAGGGCATTTGCAACTGAACTAAAATATTTTTTAAACGCATAGAAAATTTATACTAAGCTCTTAATATTCGCTGTGAAGTCCCTAAACTCATATTAACCATTATTTTACATTGCAAAATTGTACAACCTTAAGACAAAATGACAACAGTATTTTTGGAGCATACATATAAAAATAGTGTCATTTTTGAATAGAAAAAAAAAATTGCTTAAAAATAAAAAAGGCGAATAAAAAAAGTAAAAGTGTTGCCATCCGTCTTTTTATTTTTAAATTAATTAACTTAACAATTTTCTGAGTGACTTCTTAAAAATACTATATGCGAATTAATGGTCGCAAGCCATTTTTAAAAAATAGGGTTGCCACATGAAAATGAAATATATTAACTTTGAAATATTTTTTAATCTATTTGCCACCTAATGAAAATACATTCCATTTTAATTCAAATGTTCTTTTGGTGGGCGTAAAGCAATCAGTAGAGAAACAGATTAATACACAAACTTGGAAATATTCATTATTCAAAGTAAATGATGACATCTTCTGTTGCATAATCGAGTCCTTTGCTATCCGCTAGTTTTTCTCCAATTAAATTTCAAAATCGACTCATGTTTCTATAGAATCTTTTAGATTTTTGCTTTTAAATGGCATCCTGCTTGTCCACGTATTTCCGCTTTTTGGAAACGCAATTTCCTTAAAAATTGTTATACACAACAATTAATCTTCCAGCGCACTCAAAGTTGAATTTCTTTGCTTGCTTGCCCGCCGCAATCTTGCGTTCATCCAACTGATTGCATGCTAATTAGGACGAGGCGCAGAGCTTCCGTCCACATCCCAATTGACCAAGCGAAACTTTAAGTCTTACCCCACCAGAGCTTAGACAAATCTCAAAACAACTTGAGTAAGGTGAAGAAGTCTACGGCAAGCGGCTAGCGATTGAGCAACAACCGAAAATTTCAAGTGCTACCACACACCATTGCACACTTAGCTTAACAAGTTTTAATTCGTTTTGTGAGGTAAAAAGTTTCGAAATTTTCGAAATTGCTAAGTAAATAGAACAAATAAAACCGCGAAAGACAAATCAGAGCAAAAATAAACAAACAAAAGGGCGCAAAGCAAAGGCGAGCAAAAAAATAAATATAAAAAAATAGTTCACACGCTAAATTGGGAGCGCGTTGCCGCGGTTAGGTCGCTAGCCTTTAGTACCGCTAAAAATTTTGCTAAAATTTGTTGTGAAGCACAGCAACAATACAACTAAAAAATAAATGCATACAACATATAAAACCGGCACAGGCTTGTATTGCAAATGCATTTCGTTTGTACGTTTGTGTTTGCGACATTTCACCGTTACAACGTCTGCATTGAAAATTACAAATGTTTGCTTAAATCATTTGCCAAAGTGTAAACTTTTTCAATTAAATGTTCGTGTTGCTGCCTGGCTGGTTGGTTGGCTAGCATTGGAGCTCTTCTACTCGATAGAAATGCTACCGCTGCTGCTGCCGAAGTTGGTATCGAGGAAACCTACGGTGGTAGGTCGTCCTTGCGCGCTTTCAAAATTCAAAACAGCACTACATTTGACTGCATGCCATGGTTAAAGTGGCATTTGCCTGCGTTGCCGCCACTAAGCCGACGAATTTGTTGCATACTACAACCGACTACCGGAACAGGAAGTCGTAGAAATTGACGTTATCCGTATGGCAGCGAGGAAGGATGGCAAAGTGTTAGGTTTATTGCTGAAGTAAACAAAGGAAATCCTGAATTTTGGTTGCATTGCAAGAGGTGAATTCCTAATTTTTCGCGTAAAACATGGCCTCCTCGACGACTGTGCGAAGCACAAAACTCAGCGAACCACGCAAATCGAGTTTTATATTCCTTTCGACTAGTCTGCAATGAAACGATTACCTGTTTTTCGTAATGTGGGCTCTACAAAGATAGAGTGTTGCCATATTTCCGGAAAAACCTGTATTTTTGACCTAAAAACTACAATTAATTAAGGTATTTTTTTAATTGTATTAAACATAAATAAGAAAAAAGAATTAATTAAAATGAAAATATTATATTCCGTTTAAATTATACTTAACTAAACAAGAGTAGACTTTATAGTACGGAACATTTGTTTAAATGAAATTCATTTTCATTATTTTACGTAAACTGCTTTGTTAATTTTTTCGAGCATTTGATATGATACCTCAAATTTGGCACCTCTGCAATACTTTTCTTTTAGGAAATGTTGAGTCCTTATAATAACAAAGAGCACTGGCGGATTTGAATTTTTGTTACCCCTAGGCAATTCAGAATTTGCCGCCCTTTTTCCGGTAAGAAAAATATTTTGAGGTAAAAGTACCAAATTTATGTTATTTACTATACTTTTATTACAATTTAAGATGAAAAAGTGGTATTTTCCATGAGTAAAGGTTTTCAACTTTTAAAGAAAGCCACTTTTTTCACTTGATAAGTTATAATCTCAAAAATACTAACCTTTTTTTATTTTGTATTTTTTAAATATTATCATTTAAATAATATCAAAAATACCTAACAGTGTTGTCCTATTTTATGATTGCGTAATTGAATCTCAAATTTATGTCTTAAAATGTACAAATACAAATTCTACTTTCAGTGCAGCTAACTTGAAAAAAATTAATTAATTTGTTTTTTTTTCAAGTAAAATTTTCCGCCCCTAAATTTCGCCGCCCTAGGCACCTGCTTATGTTGCCTTCACGGTAAATCCGCCACTGACAAAGAGTGTTGGAATTTCCAGTTTATTTTTTGATTTGAGAAAATATTCTTACCACATTTGTTGTGTCGATTGCATTGCAGAGGGCACTGCAGCCATTTGCTGCTCTTTAATTGTCAACTTTTATCTTAAAAATTGACTTAAAAAAAAAACCAAAAGAGACATTTTAATTTATTCGTACAAATCGGACATTTGAAAAAAAAACTGTAATTTGTATTAGGAGGTAATTCCAACAACTGTAAGCTTAGCTAAAAAACTATAATTTACGGTCAAAGCTGTGAATCTGGCAACAGTGGATATAAACTGAAAGTTTAATTTTACCCAAATCATATTTATTTCCAACAAATGAAACTTACACTTCCAAAAGTCGAAACGAAAAACGAAGCTGCTACAATCCAAGCGTTGTCGTCGTTACAACTTTCGAGAGATCAAAATCCGCTTTTAATCCATTTCCTGCTTAATGCAGCAAAGTAGAGCAGCAAAAATTGTGACAAGCGTTTTTGTGGCACTTTTATTTTACACTACGCCGTACCTTTTCACTGCTTCTGGCAAACAGTAAGTTGGGTTCGAGGACACCTTTCTTTTTTTTTAAATTCGATTTTAATTTTTAGCTCTTTTTCATCCTTTATTATTATTTTTATTTCTTCGCGCACACTTGTTCAGAGCTACGGCGTTAGTGTAAACTGTTTGAAACTTTTTCGCACGCTTTTATTTTTATTTTGTGGAAGCATAGAAAATTGTAAATTCTTTTGCAGGATTTCCACTTGCTTTCCTAATTTCGTGTACGCTCCCTCTTTTGCACTTTGTTGTTTTAGTTTTTTTTTGCTTGGTTATTTCTGCGCGTATGCTAGAGAAGATAGTAAAAAAAGATTGTGCAAATGGAAGGCAATGTGGCGCGCCCTCAAGGATGAGTACTTGTTTTGTTGCTGTTGCTTTTGCTATTCATGCAATTTTTTTACTTTCGCGCTAAAACATAGCTTATATTTATGCATATTTTCTTCGTGTTGCTACACGTATGTATGTAAATAAAATACACTTTCACTGCACTTCCGCTTTCCGGCTTTTGCTTCCTGTGCACTCGCGCGCACACGCACACACACGCTGCACCAACACCAAGCTCGTCACATACTTACTGGCGCTGTAGACTTTGTGTTGACGTGTTGACGTGTTGTCGGCGATTTGCAAGTTTCTATTGCTATTGTTGTTGTTGCTTGTGAATTACCGTTAGCATACAGTGGCACACCGCACGGGCGCGTGTTTATGAAATTTACAAACACCACTACCAGCCAACTCTTTGCACCTCCACAAATCACAAAACTGACAGTGGGGAGCAAAAAGGAAAACAAAAATAAATGTAAGGCATCCAACGCTCACACTATCACTGCATTTGAGTGGGCCAACGCTGGATTGTCGTGGCAGGTTGAATGCTTAGTTGGCGCACCGAATGCAGACAATAACTATATGTGAATGAAGGATGCAGCAGCAGCAGCAGCGGCGACGACAATGCGAAGCGACGCGACACAAGGACACGCGACTAGACGCAGCGCACGGCACGACCCACGCCACACAGTGACCAGACGTAACGGCTTGAGACGCCAAGTGGCACTCAGCGTGTAGCTAAAAGCAGGTGGAAGTGTTTCTTTTTTGTTTTGTAAATATGTGAGCTTGTGTAATAGGTATTATGTACTATGTATGCCGGAATATTTGTGTGTGTGTGTGTGTGTACATGTGTGACAGCATGTCAATAGGGACAATGCAAGGAGAGTAACAGTGTTGTAGTAGTTTCAAATGTCTGTGTATGAGATTTTATTTATTTATTTTCATATTTTTCAAATGCGAATCAAAAGAGTATCAGCCACAGCAATTTAATGCATTTTTTTTTTACTTGTTTTTAATTTATTAAAAAAAAGGATCACAGGATAACTTACACTTCAGTACAGTGCAGCCACTGCTCAACACTTTCCACTACACTGCTTTACCAATCTTTCACTTTCTTCACACAACTCACTTTTATTAAATTTTTCTTTTCACTTTTTTTATTATTCCATTTTTTTTTTTAATTCAAAATGCCAATAACTGAAACCAAATATGTAGTTTTAGTGATTTACTATGTAGTAGTTTAATTTGTAGCACACAAACGCGGGCACCTTGCTTTCCAACGCTAAACTACATTCAACGGCGTTCACTAAGAAACTAACCGTCGTTTCGGCTCAAATGCCAATGCTTGGCAAAGCAATTGCTTCTTCGTTGTCATTTGAGTGCATACGAATGGAAATTCACCACAGTTCCACGACAAGTTATTACATTGTAAAGTAGCGCAGCGCATCATTGCCGAATCGTGCCGGTTCTCATACTAACCGCCTCCCCTCACTGGGTGATTTGAGTGTGTTGCCGAGGAAAAGCTGGTGTTATGGGGAAACTACGAAAAGCGTGTTTGTTCAATATCAGTATGCAAGCGGTTGCAGCAACATTGTTGAAGCAACATGAGTGAGTTATTTGAAGCGAAATGTTAAAATAACGAAATTGCTTAAGTCTTACTGGAATGAAAACTGTGTTCCCGAGATAAATCTTTAAATAAATTAAACAATTTGTAAGAATAAAATTTAGAAGCTTTCAGGAATACTCTATTCTAATCTTTCGAAAACCAAAGGAACTAAATTACTCATGAGACAAAGACAAAGACAAAGACAAAGACAAAGACAAAGACAAAGACAAAGACAAAGACAAAGACAAAGACAAAGACAAAGACAAAGACAAAGACAAAGACAAAGACAAAGACAAAGACAAAGACAAAGACAAAGACAAAGACAAAGACAAAGACAAAGACAAAGACAAAGACAAAGACAAAGACAAAGACAAAGACAAAGACAAAGACAAAGACAAAGACAAAGACAAAGACAAAGACAAAGACAAAGACAAAGACAAAGACAAAGACAAAGACAAAGACAAAGACAAAGACAAAGACAAAGACAAAGACAAAGACAAAGACAAAGACAAAGACAAAGACAAAGACAAAGACAAAGACAAAGACAAAGACAAAGACAAAGACAAAGACAAAGACAACGACAAAGACAAAGACAAACGCAAAGTCTTTGACATGAGACTAGGGGCGGACACGACTCATGAATAACATAGAAGAAGAAAAAATGTTCAACAGCTTTCAAGTCATTTAGCGGCTTTTAATAGAAAAAGCTTACGCTCGCCTTGCAAATCAATCTTTCATGGTCTTGAAGATCGAACTTTTTAGCATAAAAACGATTTGCCTATATTGGCCTATCTGTGGGGTGATTTCTCTCCAACTGCTGTGGCAACAGCGTCAGCTGGATGCTAATTTTTTATATATTTATTTTTAACAAATAAGTACTTCTTGAACAAAATCTGTACATGAAGACTAACTTTGCTTTTAAAATATGGACGTCAGCGCCACCTACTGATTACATTTAGAAAATAACTGGCTAAGTACAAAGTTTCGAACTCATTACATCCATAGTATGCCGATCACTACATCCGATGAGCGGGATGAAGTATTTGGAGCCAAGGTCTTATGAGTTTATTCACGTATGGAGCGAAGTTGGATGGGATGGCGAGTGAAGGTGTCCGCTGCGAGGAAATCTCCATCTATCGAAAGTTTTGGCTTCCAGATCACAGCAGCGATTTCGAATCGGGGACAGCCGCCGTAAAGGAAGCAGATTGCTTACAGAATAATGAATGTAGAAAGAACGTAGGTATATTCTCAGAGCCAGGCGGTAATTACGGTCCTTGGTCTATATATGACATGTGCGTAAGTTCGAAAACCGTCAGGAAATTCCCTTTCGATCACATCAGATTGCTTCGCTTTAAAGCTAATATGGGTTCCAGACTGCAGCGATATTGACGGTAAATACCTACATGACCGATGAGCTAAATAGCAAGACAGCGGATACTGGAGAAGTGCTTGCTGAGTAGGGTAAGAGTAGACACAACAAAAGCTGCCTGCAGTCTACAATTGGACATAAGGGGTTTTTGTTTTGTTAACTGAGTACCGGAGTATATGGTGATAGTTGACAGAGAATGACACCTCAGAACATCAAACTACTTCATTGAGAGTGGGCAAACTTCAGGCTTCCATTCTTCTTTTGAACTTTAAACCACCATCAAAAGAATACCACAGAGCTGTTGATAATCTCAGTTCGTGATATTCGCATCTTTTGCTGAGTATCTATTTTCCTCTGAATTTATGGAAAAACATACATTTTCTGAAATTTATCACTGCCTTTGTTAATTAAAATGAACAAGAAAAAAAAAAAGAAACTATCCACGATTCATTTTTTTATTAAGGAATACTACATATATATTTTTTTGCGTTCTTGTGGCTATAAAGTCTCTATAAATACTGTATATAAAAAACGGATTAAGTTTAGTAGACAACTACTTCAAATGAAGAACTTCCTAACACTTCACAAACTACAGAAATTCAAGTGCAACATAGGTGCAAACCGAGATACTTGTACATGCTACTGGTGGTTACATGCCGGGCATACTAAATATGTATGTATGTATGTATGTACAAAAGTGTGTTGATTACTGACTTATTGAAGTGAAGTTTAGTAAATACTCATTTTGTAGCTGTGTATGTACACAGTTAAAAGTTTACACCACCCATTGTCCGGTGTTTATTTGCTGATGGTTATTCTATGCATTTCAAAGGGTATCTCAAAATGGTATCAGCTAACTTTGAAGGTATCATTAATTTTTGGTCAGCGTTACCAACTTATAATTCAAAGATATTGTATGAACTTATTTTTTGTTTTTTATAAATATCAACGATTCTTCTAAATATCAACAAAATCTGGGCTTCACTTTTTTCTTTTTGACGTGTAAACATCTTTCCTCCCGGTATCCAGCCTTGATGTTGTTGTCACACAAAGAGGAGCGATCTACAGTTCTACGCCGACTTCGAAGGACCATTTTGGGGATATAGATGTTTACACATCAAATTTCACGAGTACCGCGTACTCAGTATGTGTTAAAATATATGTAGCATGTAGAGATTTTTTTTGTCATATTTGTATTTATTTCAAGGCACCCTTTATATTGACACACATATATTCATATTCATAAATGTATACTTTTGTATACTTATATACGCACATGTGTACATATGTACATACATACATGTAGGCATTTATGCGTTAACACAACGATGAATGATTTTGAATGCACCTGTCAGATTCAATTGCTTGTACTCATGTGTACATACATATGTAAGTACTGTAGGCAATAAAGCGATTGCATTTTGTTTAAGTACTCTTGTACTTACACAAGTACTTTAGTAAATATGTATGTATGTACGTGTATGTGTAAACTTAATTACTTAATTTATACGCAATCAATGCAAATTAATTATGCTAATATTGACACAAATGAGTTATGTAATTTTGAGTACTGCATAATTTTGTGGAAATTTATGAGTTAAGTGGCATTTAGCAAATAATAGGACAGGGGAATAGATATCTATACATACAAATGTACATGTATACATGCCAGGGTTGTTGCGAATATTCGCATTCGCATTCGCAGCCGCGGAGCTTCCGCATTAATTTTAACATTCGCATTCGCTTTCGCATTCGCAAAAATCAATGCGGAACTTTTGCGAATGCGAATAATGAAGGGACAGGAAATTACAGTTATTTTTTTTACGAGCTAAACTTGGCCAAATATTTTTATTCCCGACTAAGAGTCCTTTCCGGAAAATAATCAAACCGCTTATCCAAATTAAACAAGTTTGCTATCAAATGAAAGAGGACTTAAATAGCTTTAAAACTGATATGTCTAAACGAGCAAAGCCACCTACCGAAAAATTTTTCAATAAAAAATGTTAATTAATTACCATAGAACAAACCTTGGGTCAGGTATTTGAATTTCTTTAGTATGAAATGATACAAAAAAAAAAAAATATAAATAGAGGTTTAAAAGCTATTTCAGTCCTCTTTCACATGATATAAAATTTGGTTAATTTTGATAAGCTGCGAAAAAGCGAAAAAACTTTTATTATTACGTATATCTGGCCAGTCACAGAAGAAAGGATTAAAAATGAATTACAAAAACTAAAATGGAAAAAAAAAACAATAAATATAACTGAAAGGCCTCTCGACTCGTGCAGCGTCAATCGAAAAGAATTTACAATTTTGTCAAGTTTCAAGTTTTTCAAGTTTGTCGCCTCGAGCGAGCAGTTATTTAGTGGCCCTGATTTACGACCCTTTAAAGACTTTTGATTGGATACAATGTTCCAATTTTTAAATTCAAGTACAAAAAAAAAACATTACTAAAAATAACTAACCTTTACATTTTTTAGTTAACTAAATCACCTAATTTACTCACCTAAATTATTTCTTAACAAGCAAAAAAGTCTAAGTTCGGGCGGAGCCGAACACTAAATACCCGGCGCCAGTATTCAATATAGTTTTCACCTTTCCGAAAACTACCGCTACATGTTAAGCAGGGGTGGGGTTACCCCTTTTTCAAACATCTTCGATAGAACGTTCAGTTAGATATAATGAGATAAACTTATATAGTTATACGTGAGCGGAATCACGCCCATTTTCCAAAATTCAATAATAATGTTATTTCTTTTCAAGGGATTGTTTGGGTAAAATTAGCGTCCTTAAATTTCGAAATATTGAAGTTTCAAGCATTTCTAAAATTTACCGTTATGAAAAAGTGGGCGTAATTTTAGTCCGATTTCGATAACTTTGCCTTTATTAGGCAACCACAATAATCGTCCCGAGATGGTACACATTGATCGAACGGTTACCGAGATACACATACATATGTGATCATAACCGGGCGGGGTAACGCCCATTTTCCAACATTTTATTATAAGCGTATTTTTTGCTAAATAAGTATTGCAGACATCAATCTTGAATAAATTAGCTCCAGTATTTACTGATTTATCGAAGCTTTCGTATTTATCTAAATTACCGTTATATGGGATGTGGGCATGGTTATTATCCGATTTTTTAAACTTTCAGCCGTTTGGTATGTTTTGTGAAGGCCAACAACTGTGTCTGTGTTTGGGCGAAATTGGCGGAGCGGTTCCCAAGGTATACACATGTAATCATAAGTGGGCGTGGCTACGCCCCATTTCCAAAAATGTTTAATATTATTTTTCGCCTAAAAATGATTGTAAATATCAAT